CTGAAAGTCAAGATTAAACAGGTGCAAGAAGAAGGGGTAGTGATAGGAAGGAAGAAAATATGGACATTAGGATATGCAGATGATATAGTGATGATGGTAAAGAGTGAAAGTAGAATGAAAGCGATGCTGAAAAAATTAAAAAGATACCCGGAAGAAAGGGATTAGAGCTAAATGTAGGAAAATCAAAGATGATGAAATGTCGGAGAGGAGGAGGAAGGGGAAAGGAAGAAGAATTCGAATGGGAAGGTGAGAATGTAGAGATGGTTGATGAGTCCAATTACTTGGGATATGTGATATGCAGAAATAACGTAAATAAAAAGCATATAAAGAAGGTAGAAAGGAAAATAAATATGGGACTCAGAAGACTATGGGGGGCTAGGAGATAAACTATTTAGAGAAAATTGGGAGCTAAGGATGAACCTGTTCGACGCACTGGCGAAAAGCGTGATTATGTATGGAGCAAAAATCTGGGGATGGAAACGATATGAAGAAATAGAGATATTACAACTAAAATACATCAAGTGTGTATTGGGATTAGACAGAAACACGCCAAGTTAATTAATACTATGGGAAACAGGAAGACAAGAAATGAAAGAAATAGCATTAGAAAGAGCAATGAGGTATGAAAACAAAATAAGAGAAGAAAGAGATGACTGAATAAAGTATGTGGATTTTTGAATAACTTGTGCCGATACATAGCTAAGTCATAGAGATTATGTACCAACCACTTGGTTGCACTAATATCATCGATAGTTTTCTGTCTGTAGCTTTAGTAATGTGAATTAGAGTTATCATAGCTACACATCACGATAAAACCATCACAATACGGTTTGCGATGTTGATAGAGGCGTTCATCAATAGACTCCGGATTTAAGAGACTCTTGAAATCAGCATACACAACGTACGGCACCGGAGACTCATTTTTCAAATTGTCAAAATATAAAAATTTGTCTTTCTCATTTAGCAAGCACAAGTTTACACATACGTGTTCACACTTTTATAAGTAATATAATATATTTTCAATCTTTCTTGAGTTCGGAAATAGTGCAGACAACGATCACAAATATATGACTTACATCTCCAAGATGACAATTGTCGTGACATCAATCGAGACAAGTCTTCTATCCGTACATACCGTATTTTGGAAGACATGTAGGAATGTTGTATTTGATTTTCATTCTCGTCAGCATTTACATCAACGAAATAATTCTCCACTAGAAGGTCCACATGCTATTCCTTCTTCTCAGCGGTCAAATGTCGAAGTAAAAGTTCGTACATGCTATTTTTCAAATTTAACGACTTGTCTTCGATCCACAGGAAATGTTAGATTCCTATATTATACTTATGCTGATGCATAATACATGCACTGACAGAATTTAGATTCATTGCAACCGGATGTAATGCTGAGAGAATAGCCCACTTGAAATACTCATCATCATCATAGTTCTACACATTTACACAGGCCCTCCTTTTTCTGATAGGTTCTGGAAACTTAATGTAAGAACCAGCGATAATATAAGATTCAAAAACGATATCAAGATTTCGATAATTATAATTGCGGTCATCTTTGTATGCAGTTTTTGTGCGGGGCTTTATAAGTAAAGACGCCGTAAAATGATATCAGTCCTTTTTAGACACTCATAAGAAACGCTCTTTTTGGCGACGATAAAATCGAGGCCTTTCTATCGTTATCATAGAAATAAAACAGAGATTCATCAAAGAACAGCACATTATTCCATTGTCCTATGTTCTAGTTCACACTTTATCGAGCGTACGCTAAGCGAGCTCTGCGATGTACGGGATTCAACATTGGTACACAGGTAGAGATCGTAGTCCAGCTTTAAGTAAGCAATTACAAATCATTGATCTGAAAATGTTTTGTAGCCACCGTCATTGTTGTTATTGTGATCGGTTTGGAAAAATTTGAGCAATAATGTTTCCAGAAACAAAAAGTTTCTGATGAACAAATCGGATCAATGCCTGATCGTCTAGACGCGTCGTTACACGACCTCGATTTTATTTAGCTCGACGCTCGTACCCATCAATTTTCAAATAACAATTATATGTACGAGACACGATTGAGAAATCAATTCCCAGACTATCTATCATCGACCTATGTGATATCAATATCCGTCCTGGATCATAATCACTAGCTAAGTAACTTCTGATGCGGATAAATGGCGTTTAGGTATAATGAAAAATTAAAAAATTTGAAGTTTACAAAAACTTTTGGTTGGTTGTTATTTTAATCAATAAAACAAATAATTAATAAAACAAATAATTAGTTTTAATAACTTTTAATTCAATTAATTAATTTAAAATGAAGACGCAATTATTATTTAAAAAATGACTGAATTTTTTTTAATTTCGCAAAAATAATTAAAAAAATTTGTCAAAATATTTCTTATGAAAATTATCATAAAATTTTTTTTTAAATCGCTGATAACAGATATTGAAAAGAAAAATAAAATAATAATAAAATTTCCATTATTAAAAACATCACATAATATTTAGTATTTTACGTTAGTAACAGACAAAATCTCGTTCATTTAATTTTTTTTAAAACTGATGAATTGATGGTCCTGCAACAGAAAAGGGGCGAAACAAAAATTCGCCGCATAAGTATTGTCCAATGAAGTAATAATTATTTTCATTATTTCAAATAAAATGCTGAATAATTAAAAATAAGTATAATTTGATCATCATCCAAAAATCAAAATATTTCGATTAATTTAAAAATAATTTAACTTTCATTTTCTATATTAACTTACAGAATCTTTTGTAATTCGTCTAAAATAGCTATTGTTAATTGTCTTTCTTCCCTGCAAGCTTCAATACAATCCTTTCTACAACTACCTCAACAACAGTTCCTATTCCTCGTTCATAGCGTTTGAAAGTTTTGGCAGCCATACGTGCCATGTTCGTTGTATGCAAAAACTTGTTAATGTTCGTATAACCTAGTCTAGAATAAAGAGTACCTAAATAAATTTTGAAAAGGCATTAAATGATTGAACAACTAGTAATATTATACGTAAAAGTACATAACACTAATCGAGACAGCTTTTGTATAAGTATCGTAGGTACGCTGCTTATGAGAGTAGCTTGGTCCTTCGTGTAATTTATTAGTAGGCCCAACTGTTATTGAAAGATATTTTCTGCATTTAAGCGTCAACTAATCATCTAACGAAAGAATCTCTTTGCACTCTGAAGAGTAGAGATATGCAGCCCTAACTTTCAATTCAACAATTCGGTGCCTGTCTATTATACATTCAATCTCTCCATTATTTTTAAAGTCACTTCGAACTTTTTGTTTTTATTCTCATCAAACCATTCTCTATTTGTTTCATAAGCTTTTTATACTGTTTTTAAGTCATTATTTTTCCTTTATGTCTTGGAAGCTTGATCATGTTGACATTAAAGATACTATATGCTATGCAGACTTCTACAACTTGAACGATTTGACCAACCTCTACCGTTGTGCATTATTGATATACAATGTTGCCTGATTTCAATTCGTATTTTTAAATTCATTTCATTAGACTACATACATTTTTCTCGAATATAAACTTTATTGTAACATGTCTAATACTAAAAAAAGAATAAAAAATGTATTTTCATGAGAGATTGTAAAAATAAAAATACCCACCTGCTTCACAAGAGATTGATCGAATCACCGTAATTGAAATTTGGCGAAGGATTACCCAGTCAATGATCCAAATTTCCAAATTTCATTTCCAATATGTTAGAAAGATTGCCAGCAGTTATTATAAAGGCGGCAATAATAATATAAGTACTACTTCACACTTCTTTACCCACCTACGCACATCTATACATAGTACATGTATACATTCTTAAAAGAACGAGTTTGGAATCTTTAAATTCTGTGTAATTGACGAAACACGGGATATCAATTCTCTTAAAGAACCCTATACATATTTGTGCTTCAGCACAAAAGAAGTGTAAATCTGACCATACAACCTCCACGTAGTACGTTTTGGGTAACACAAATGCCGGCTGTTCATACGTTACTATCAGAGAGTTTATAAGAACACTTGAGTTATTTTTTTAATTGATCAAAATTTTATTTGAACAAAATTGTTTCAAAATTTTTTGTTCAATTTTTGTTTAAATTTAGCTGATAACAGATGCAAATTGTAAGAAAAGTGAAACTAAATAATTTTTCTTAATTTTTAAATAGATTTCTCGATGCTTAGTAGTAAGTAACAAAAATATTGGTTTTTTAAGCTTTTCTAAAATATTAATCAATGTACTAGGTAAAACAATTTAGTTGATATACAAAAAATTAAATTATTTTAAAGTAGAATTTTGGAAAACATGAATTTTCCCATCATTATCAGCAAAAGAGCAATCAATTTTCCAAAACAAGAAAAAATGTTGTTTTTATGCTTTCTTGAGATTCACTTCTGAAAATAGAAAAAAATCTAAAAATAATCACATAGAAAATTTATTCTAATTTTCGAAACTGCCCTAAGATTTTTCGTAGGAGCCTTGTTTGCTTATATATCAGTGGTTAAATAGTAAAAGATCTTTTTTCAATTCAAGTCTAATAGTCCAGAAAAAAATGGCAATATCAAAGTTTTAAAACAAAGAACGGAACTAAAGCTAAATAAATAGTAATTTAAACATGCAATGATTTCCTTCAAAAACTTTTCTGAAGCACATAAAGGCAGTGGAGAGAACAATAAAACATAAAAATTTCTTTTCCCACTATTTCTTAGAATTGCGTAAGATCTGCAGCTCCTAGAAATTGTTGATCAAAATATTGAAAAACTAAAATCTAGGAACTATAAAATACTTTTTGTTCTTATCTGATACGACTATTTATCACTTTTTTTAAATCTCTGATATGACTATTTGTAAATATATCCTGTTAAAGATAACCAAAAAATTTGGTTGCTTTGTTAATTTTTGCGAGTAGTGTAAATATTCGTCATATAAATTTATTTAATATTGAAGAATGATATTTACATATTCCACAGGTGGATCTCGATAACGTAATGGATACATTTTTTAACACTCTTTATCAAAAAATGTTCACGGTTTTGAACAGCCAATATAAGTTTGATAATAAGTACCTAGAATGCGTGAGTCATCATATGAAAGAAATGCGACCGTTTGGAGATGTTCCCCAAAAACTAAGTGTACAGATAAAACGCTCCTTTGTCGCTACCCGTGCTTTCAGTCAAGCTCTTCAAATAGGAGCCGATGTTCTAAAAAATATGCAGCAGGTAATTAAAAATTTATATAATTAGTCATTTATAAATATAATATTCTTATTTATTTTTAACCTTTTAAGGACGGGACTGGTCGATATATCGACCACCAATTTTGTCAGGCACTCCACGTGACATATTCTTTCATTTTATGCAGAAATATTGTGCAAAAAAAAAGTCAAATTTTAACGTAAAAATCCCCGTCCTTAAAAGGTTAATAAGTTTTTTATTGTAATATCAATTCTTAAAGCCATTTCACTATAGTTAACTCTGACAAATATACCTTTTTCATGTTTTAATATTGTATTAATTTGTTACTACTATAGACATTTAAGGAGGTGCGTGCCGTATTGGCGGGATTATCAAAGATTGCTCCCGCTCATTGTTAAAGCGATTCATGTATTTGGCGCACTCGTATTAAGAGAATTATTAATATTTTAAAGCAAAAAATTTCGGAGGCATTTCTTAAATTATCAGCTTCTTTGCAATGTCTACCGAAATTCGATATGTACTTTTGTTTGTCTAGAAAATATCCTGTTACAAATTTTCAAAAATTAAAAATATAATGATACCAAATTGTTTATAGACATCATATGCTGACGTCGGGGTCACTCTCAGGTACGCTTGGAGTAAGCGTAAGCTTAGGGCTGCTCTGATTTGGGTTGCGTGCAACGCATAAGTCGGAATGAGCAATATTTTTGCGCAGAGAAACTACTAACCAGGAAATAATAACTGAGTGTTATTATTGAACACACCAGACTCTCACTTAATGTGTTCTTAAGAGATTCTATGGGAAGTTTGCCAGACTCAAGCTTAACCAATTTTTAGAAAGAAAGGGGAACTAGAGAGAAAGAAAAAAAAAAGAAAAGATAGCCACATATAAAATTCACTTACTTTTTATTTTATTTGATTGCTTGATACTTAGGCTGCGTACTCTCTCTCTCTCTCTCTCTCTTCTGGATGCACTTAGCTGACTTCTTGTTTGAGTTTTTAGCTGACTTCTTGGCACTACACTGTACTACTGATTCTTCTCAAAAAAAATTTTCTATCCTACTGTGTTTCCTCCAGCATTGGTCCCGCAGTCTTATATAAAGCATTTTATAAGCAGTGGATGGTTGGGTGGAAATCCCCTTCTTCCGGCCCATGACATGATGACGATTAAAATTTTCTCCATTGGTGGGAAAATTTTCTTATCCGATTTGGTATTTGTAATTAGTCGGAGGGCGTGAATCTTCAGAGAAAGATAGGGCGGTCCTGTCTTAACTTAGGCCTTTTTCTCTAGAGATGAGCAAGAGTGACTCTTTGGTTTATAATTACTTACACAAAATTGTACTAGACTTAGTTAATTTTAACGATACATAGTGATTATTTAACCCATTAACGTCCAAAATGTCAAAATTTCTTGCACGTTTTCAAAGTGATTTTTTCCTATGTAATTGGCGTTGAAAAAATTCTTGAACCACATATTCTGATGTAAAATTGCATGCTCTTTCAGAATCCGTTGCCAGAATCATGATAAAACTCACAGGAAAAGAGATATGCTCGATTGAAACATAAAAAACACCTAAATTTTCGAAAAAAAAAATTTTTAGGATTTTTTTTCGAAGTGTTACGGTGAAGATATCACCTTGCGACCGTGATCAAAGGTGATCATGGGATTTGAAGTTTAACAGGGAATTTTTTTGTTTACCTTGAACCATCGCTTCTTTACAAAATGGCGGAAAAAACGAATTTTTTTTTTTTTTCAATCTTCATCAACTTTTTTCTCAAAATCTATGGACTTGAGAAAAAAATTCATAAGAACAAAAATGTCTTAGAATCACTCGAGAAACATCCTAAAATTTTTTCAGAATTTTTGGAGACATTTTTGAAAATTCCATTTCCCAAGTTTCCCGGAAAATCAAAAATTGTCTCAAAAAATTCTGAAAAAATTTGAGAATGTTCCTCGAGCGATTCTAAGGCATTTTTGTTTTTATGAATTTTTTTCTAAAAACCATAGATTTTGAGAAAAAAGTTGATGAAGATTGAAAAAAAAAAATTCGTTTTTTCCGCCATTTTGTAAAGAAGCGATGGTTCAAGGTAAACAAAAAAATTTCCTGTTAAACTTCAAATCCCATGATCACCTTTGATCACGGTTGCAAGGTGATATCTTCACCGTAACACTTCGAAAAAAAATCCTAAAAAATTTTTTTTTCGAAAATTTAGGTGTTTTTTATGTTTCAATCGAGCATATCTCCTTTCCTGTGAGTTTTATCATGATTCTGGCAACGGATTCTGAAAGAGCATGCAATTTTACATCAGAATATGTGGTTCAAGAATTTTTTCAACGCCAATTACATAGGAAAAAATCACTTTGAAAAAGTGCAAGAAATTTTGACATTTTGGACGTTAATGGGTTAATAACTATAAATTACAATAATTCAATAATTAGTTATTATAAACATTAAAAAAATCTAAAAACTTCTAAGAGTTATTATAAAATGCATTACGATTCTATTTTTGTTGTCGCTTGAAACATGAAATTATTTATTAGTTATTTTGTTCTTGCAAGGGTTGAACTGGATAAATAATATATCTTTGAAAGATGCGCATTATGGTACGATGGTTATTAGAACAATCACTATTTGATAGTTACTTAAAAAATTGATTAAAACCCATTCAATATTACGGATAATCTCTTATGTTTGTGTTTTCTGACTAAAATGATCTTCAGAATGAGAACTCGATTATAGATTTCAGGAAGCCATAATTATCTATTAATAAGAAAATTTTCCGAATCTTAACAATTTTATTTTAATCGATTTTAATAGCTAATTGCAAAGTTTCTTACAAAGAGAAAATTCGGTGGGAAGAAAAGATAGATTGTATTTTTATGGCCTCTCTTCTTATCGGTGGGATAGTGCTTCAGAATATATACGCGATGATCACAAGATTTTGTTAATACCTGCGAGTGGGACAAAGCAGGATAAGGTAGCGTTTGTAAGGCTGAGTACATAGGTTTGGGCCACTATCACGTTTTATATCAATACCTTATTCCAGATGTGCTTTACTCATGAGAAATTTTATTAGTAGCGATTTTCAACCCTGCTCTTTATATATTTTTTGAAGGTTCTTATTCTGTTCTTAATATTGATTCCTATTAATTAATTAAGATTAAAAAAACCTAAATTACGGCCTGCCGTCACAATGTATAATAGTATGAATATTAATTCTGAAGTTTAAATATTTATTAGAGAAAATTAGAGATGTGATTTAATGAGGCGATATCGCGCCGTGGCACGATTTAATTTCATTAATTATATAATTCTTTACACGTGTTAGCTAATACAAATTAGTTTATAACAATGGATGGTAATAATAGTAGTGATTGTTAATTATGGCAAATATATGAGTAAATAGTTAAGCACAATTAATGAAATGATATGCTTATAAAATTAACACCACGTGAAGAGGATAGTAGTTATATTTTTATTAAAGCTGATCCAAAGTTGTATAAAGATTTAAGTTTGTCTCACAAGTTAAATGTTCAAATCAGTTTTGATACTTTAAAAATCAATAATATACAATCTTGATATTCAAATAACATCTTACAAATGCATGTTTTACACTTAGCATAACTGTGCTGCAGGCAAAGATCCGATAGTTCATTGCAAACATACCTGTAGTTTTTAAGAGTATCAAAAATTTTTTTATAAACAAAATTATAAAAATTAAGCAATTTGGTACTGATAAATTTCCAATATTTTTTACAGAATATCAGGTCCCAGTAATTACGTTTCCCGGTGGTGTTTCGGCACGTACTAACCGTAAATAAAAGAATGTCTACCCGGTTCTATCGCGCAGATAGGCCCCTCTCTCGGCCTATTTCCTATCATTTACACTGATATTTTTGATATTTTGATGTTACACACTAACCGATCCACTCAAAAGATGTGTTTATTTATCTTCGATTCGTAATTCCTATTCCAAATGTTTAAAAAGTTATCAACAATTGAAAATTTAAATTTATCCAAGGGACACATCAGATATGCGAATTATGAGAATTTTTCCACGAAGATCCTCGTTAAACTAATTAATTATTTCGCCAATCGAACTTGTTATTGAATCGAAATGTTGTAGAAGTACTCTTTCATATACTCTTAGTAGTTTTGTTTAAAAATTTTTGATTTCGTCACTAAAAGCAAGGAAAAAAAAATCAACAACTTCGGAGATCTGCCCATATACATCTAAATAGTTCATACGTTGGTCATATATTATATGTTTAAGTACAGACAACGCGTTACTAACACATACTTGCACACGTGTGAACTCGAGCATTGTCTGGAAGAAAGAGGCTTTTTTTTTGTTCAAGTGAGGACGTTTTTCTCTGATTTTTTCTCTCACCTAACCTAATAATGACGCACAATATTGTCCAGTGATCATCTGGCTCTTTTCCAAGTAGTCGATGTAGATGATTCCATACGCATCCCAGAAAACCGTAGCCATAATCTTGCCAGCTGACTTTACTGTCTTTGCCTTCTTTGGGGCTGGTTCTCCTGCGGTAATCCATTGTTTGGACTCTTCTTTGGTTTGAGGAGTATAGTGGTGTACCCATGTTTCGTCTACAGTTACGAGTCGACGCCAAAAGTCTTCCGGATTACGACGTATGCGTGCCAAAAGAGTCTCAGAGGTGACCACGCGGGTTCGTTTGTTTTCAACAGTGAGCAAACGCGGCACCCATCTTGATGATATTTTTTTCTTCCCAAATTTTTCATGTAAAATTGAAATGATTGTACCCTTTAATACCCTTGTGGCCTCAACTAATTCTCGCTATTTTAATCTTCTATCACTCAACACCATATCGTGGATTTTGTTGACCATTTCGGGCGTACTCACTTCTACGGGGCGTCCTGAATGAGGTTTATCTTTTGTTTTTGTACGGCCGTGTTTAAATTCAGTCTTAAACACAGGGGCAGACTTGCCATGAACGGCGTTCAATTCAACTGTTATTTCTTTTGGTGTAAGGCCTTTCAAAT